AGTGAGTGAGTGAGTGAATGAATGAGTGAGTGAGTGAGTGAGTGAGTGAGTGAGTGAGTGAGTGAGTGAGTGAGTGAGTGGGTGAATGAGTGAGTGGGTGAATGAGTGAGTGGGTGAATGAGTGAGTGACTGAGGGACTGAGTGACTGAGTGATGGAGTGACAGAGGAATGGAGCGAGCGAGTTAAAGAAAACTGGCAGATATTGTTTGAACAAGAGAGAAAATACAAACGTGTACTTGTGTACAGGATAGCAATAAAATGAAACGAGTGATACCAAATAAGGACAGACATTTAAATATTTTTTAAACTACAGAGATTCACACCAAAAGCTCCAAAAATGTAGATGATTTTGAAAAGATTTCTTTTTTCTTTTTCCTTTTTTTCGAATTTTTTTTTCTTTTTTTAGTTGTTGTTTGTCCTTCCCCGTTCTTTTCGTACCTGCCATTGAGTCGAAAAATTGTGTCCCGCATTGTTGTTCGACTCAGTGTTACAATGGGTTGATTTTTTCCTCTTACATGAGTCAAAGAGCAAGGAAAGAGAAACGACGCCCCAGTCATGAATAAAAGAATAGGTGCATAATAACAATGTCTGTAGTGGCAATGAAGATGCTGTAAAGGTCATTTTGGTGCTCTGCTTTGGCTTGCTGCTGTTGGAACTGCTGCTGTTGAAACTGCTGCTGTTACTGTTGTTACTGCTACTGCTGCTGCTTCTGCTGCTATTACAGCTGGTACTGCTGTTATTACTGTTGTTACTGTTACTGCTGGTAATGCTTCCGCTATCATTGCTGTAGTGCTGTTGCTTCTGCTGTCGACCGTGCTGGTTCTAGAAAAAAACAAAAAACTTTTACTTTGGATGCCAGCAAAGTACTCGTCAAACGTTAATTTTCATCACTGTTCTTTTAGCAGCAAAAGTGTCTCTATCTTTATCAACAACGTTTAAACCACCCGTAGTCTTGTACAGTGTTTTATTAAATCACGACTAAAATAGGTCAAATTTCCTGATACAGAATAAGAAACAATAATTATAACCAATGTCTCACGTTCTTCTTCCAGGATTAGTTCACCTTTGGTGCTGGCTTTCTTTAAAGCTTCTCATTTGCCCCCTCTATTACTGCTACATCCTTACAGAAATTGACCCTATGTTTGTACTTCAGTAAAGCTATTTTATCAAGACAAGGAACAAAATGCTTTTGTTCAACATTTGCAGCAATCATACTTTGTTGGGTTATAAAGACAAAGATTTAGTGCGTTATTTATTTCTGGACTAAAACGTGACTGAAGAAATCCTCTATAGTTCGTTGTTTATGTTGCCAATTTGGCATTCCGCCTGAAGTTAGATCCACAAACCTGACAGCTCAAAATATTAATTGGAAACAAGTTTCTTGAATTCTGATAATAACGCCATTCGACTAGCCTTGTTGTAATATAATTTTAGAAAGTTAACCATTTATGCTTCAATGCGTGTTACACGTTTTTATCCTCCTCTTCTTCCTCCTCCGCCTTTCTCTCGCACACTCCTCTTCTCTCTCTCTCTCTCTCTC